GGTTGGATTTAGTTTGTTCATATTATATTGAGTTCGTGAGAGATATTAGTCCATAGTTGTTCTTTGATACAGACTCTGTCTGGTTTTGGTGTCTAGGTAATACTAGCTTCACAAAGTGGGAGGTTTTACCTTCTCTTCTATTTTCTGGAAGAGATTATTTAAATTCAGCATTAGTTTTTGAAATCTTTGGTAGACTTTTCTTGGGAAACCAGGATATTTTTATTTAGGGAGCTTACATATTTCTTACGTATTTCTTACATTACATACATATACATCTTACATACTATGTGTTCTTACAAAACACATAGTTTTTGAAATGTTTGGTAGACTTTTCTTGGGAAACCAGGATATTTTTATTTAGGGAGCTTTTTCTTACATTTTTCTTACATATTTCTTACATCTTACATCTATACATATTAATATGTATAACCTTTAATAGTTATAGAACTATTCTGATACTTATTTTTATTGTAGTTGAATTTTTATAGTTGGTGGTGTTTGAATAATTGGTCCATTTCTAAGTTGTCATATGCTTGAACATAAGGTCCTGTGGAGTTTTCTGTTACTTATCTTCAATGCCTGTTAGTAATACTCTCCATTTCATTGCTGATCCTTCTGTTTGGTCTTCTCTGTTATTTTTCTCACTCTTGCTAAAACTTTATTAATTTTATTGATCTTTATGAAGAACTAGCTTTGTGTGACATTGACTATATTGTTTTCCTATTTTCAGTTCCATTAAATTTCACTTCCAACTTCCTTTTTTTCTATTTGCTTCCTTTTTTGTCTTCTGGTTCTTTTTATAGTTTCTTGAGGTAGGGACGTTGGTTATTGTTTTGTTTTTTTTTTTCCTTGCCTCATATGAAGGTTTGTGCTGTAAATTTCCACTCAGCATTGCTTTACCTGCATCTCACGTATTTTCATATGTCATTGATTTTATTTAATTTTTCTAAATTTTTATTTAAATTCCAGTTAGTTCACATACAGTGTAATATTAGTTTCAGGTGTAGAATTTAGTGATTCAATCAGTGATACATCACCTGGTGCTCATCACGACAAGTGCACTCCTGATTCCCCATCACCTGTTCTCCTCCCCCCTCCCCTCTGGTGACCAGCCGTGTGTTCTCTGTAGTGAAGAGTCTGTGTCTTGGCTTGCCTCTCTCTCTCTCTCTTTTTTTCTCGCTCCTTTGTTTTATTTCTTTTCTTTTTTTTCTTCCAAGATTTTATTTAAATTGTAGTTAGTTAATGTATAGTGTCGTATTGGTTTCTGGAGTAGAATTGTCATTCATCACTTACATATAACCCAGTGCTCCTCATAATACATGCCCTCCTTAATCCCCATCACCCATTTAACCTATCCCCTCCAACTGCCTCCTTCCCCTTCCAGCACCTATCAGTTTGTTTCCTGTAGTTAAAGTCTCTTATGGTTTGCCTCCCTCTCCGTTTTGTTTCTTAAATGCCACATTTGAGTAATATGGTATTTGTCTTCTCTCACTGACTTATTTTGCTTAGTATAATATTCTCTAGGGCGCCTGGGTGGCTCAGTTGGGCGCCTGGGTGGCTCAGTTGGTTAAGCGACTGCCTTCGGCTCAGGTCATGATCCTGGAGTCCCTGGATCGAGTCCCTCATCGGACTCCCTGCTCTGCAGGGAGTCTGCTTCTCCCTCCGATCCTCCCCCCTCTCATGTGCTCTCTCTCATTCTCTCTCTCTCAAATAAATAAATAAAATCTTTAAAAAAAAAAAATATTCTCTAGCTCCATCCATGTTGTTGCATAGGGCAAGATTTCATTCATTTTATGGCTGAATATTCTGTTGTATATATATATATATATATCACACCTTCTTTATCCATTCATCAGTCAGTGAACATTTGGGCTGTTTCCATAATTTAGCTATTGTTGATAATGCTGCTGTAAACATTGGGGTGCATGTATCCCCTCAAATATTTTTTTTATCCTTTCACTATTTGCAGATGACATATAATCTATACAGAAAACCCAAAAGACTCCACCAAAAAACTGCTAAAACTGATTCATAAATCCAGTAAAGTCTCTGGGTATGAAATCAACACACAGAAATCTGTTGCATTTCTATACACCAATAATGAAGCAGCAGAAAGAGAAATCAAGGAATCAGTCCCATTTCTAATGGCACCCAAAACCATAAGATACTTAGGAATAACCCTAATCAAAGAGGTAAAAGATCTCTGCTCTGAAAATTATTTTTAGTGTATGTGCTGCCAAAGCGAGCACTCTACTCTGAAAACTATAAAACACTGTTGGTGGGAATGCAAGCTGGTGCAGCCACTCTGGAAAATAATCTGGAGCTTCCTCAAAAAGTTGAAGATAGAGCTACCCTACGACCCAGCAATTGTACTACTAGGTATTTACCCCAAAGATACAAATGTAGTGATCCGAAAGGGCACTTGCACCCCAATGTTTGTAGCAGCAGTGTCCACAATAGCCAAACTTGGAAAGAGCCCACCATCGACAAATGAATGGATAAAGATGTGATACACACACACACACACACACACACACCCCACACAGGAATATTACTCAGCCATCAAAAAGGCTGAAATCTTACCATTTGCAGTGATGTGGGTGGAACTGGAGGGTATTATGCTAAGTGAAATAAGTTAATCAGAGAAAGACAATTATATGCTTTCACTTACATGTGGAATTTAAGAAAACAGAATCATAGGGGAAAGAAGGGGAAAAATAGGGAAAATCAGAAAAATAAGGGAAATCAGAGAGGGAGATAAACCATAGGAGAATCTTAACTTAGGAAACAAACTGAGGGTTGCTGGAGGGGTGGTGGGTGGGGGGATGGAGTAACTGGGTGATAGACATTAAGGAGGGCATATGATGTAATGAGTACTGGGTGTTACATGCAACTGATGAATAACTGAACTCTACATCTGAAACTAATGATACACTATATTTAATTATTTGAATTTAAATAAAATAAGATGAGAAAACACTGATGAAAGAAATTGAAGACATAAATGGAAAAACATTCCATCTTCATAGATTGGAAGAACAAATATTGTTAAGATATCTATATTACTCAAAGTAATCTACACATTTAATGCAATCCCTATCAGAATACCACCAGCACTTTTCACAGAGCTGGAACAAACAATCCTAAAATTTGTATGGAACTGCAAAAGACTCCAAATAGCCAAAGCAAAGAAAAGCAAAGCTGGAGGCATCACAATTCCGGACTTCAAGTTACATTACATAGCTGTAGTGATCAAGACCTGTGGTACTGGCATTAAAAACAGACACATAGATCAATGGAAAAGAATAGAAAAACCAGAAATGGACCTACAACTATATGGTCAGTTAATACTCAAGAAAGCAGGAAAGAATATCCAATGGAAAAAGACAGTCCCTTCAATAAATGGTGTTGGGAAAACTGGACAGCAACCTGCAAAAGAATGAAATTTCTCACATAATACACAAAAATAAATTCAGAATGGATGAAAGACCTAAATGTGAGACAGGAAACCATTAAAATCCTAGAGGACAACACAGGCAGAGTAACCTCTTTGACATCGGCCATAGCAACTTCTTACTAAGATATGTCTCCTGAGGCAAGATAAACCAAAGCAAAAAATGATCTATTGGGACTTCATAAAAATAAAAAGCTTCTGCACAGTGAAGAAAACACCAACAAAACTAAAAGGCAACCAACAGAATGGGAGAAGATATTTGCAAATCACATATCTCATAAAGAGTTAGTATCCAAAATATATAAAAAACTTAACAAAACTCAACACCCAGAAGACAAATAAGCTAGTTAAAAAATGGGCAGAAGACATGAATAGACATTTTTCCAAAGAAGACCTACAGATGGCAAAAGACACATGAAAAGATGCTCAACATCTTTGTAATCAACAGATTACAGGGAAATGCAAATAAAATGCAAATCAAAACTACAATGAGATATCACCTCACACCTGTCAGAATGGCCAAAATTAACAACACAGGAGCCAAGAGGTGTTGGCGAGGCTGTGAAGAAAGGGGACCCCTCTTAAACTGTTGTTGGGAATGCAAACTGGTGCAGCCACTCTGGAAAAACAATATGGAGGTTCTTTAAAAAGCTAAAAATAGAACTACCCTGTGATTCAGCAATCACACTACTGGGTATTTACCCAAAGGATGTCATTGATTTCAATTCTTTTAAATTTGTTGAGCTATGTTAGAAGGTCCAGAACATGGTCTATCTTGGTAATCATTGTTTGAGTACTTGAAAAAAAAAAAGTGTATTTTTGTTGGGTGGCTTTTTTTTGTATGTAGGTTATTATAGGTGATAACATTGTTTACATTATTTTACAGACTTTCTCATTTCATATGTAATTCATTCCACCATTGTGGGTAGGGCATGTTAACTCCCCATTTCCTCATTCTCCAGGTCCGGGCAGCCACCATTCAATTTTTTGTTTCTTTGAGTTTGATTCTTCTACATACCTCATGTAAGTGGAATCATATAGTAATTGTCTTTCTGTAATTGGCTTATTTCACTTAATGTCCTCAAGGTTCATTCATATTGTACCATGTCTTAGAATTTTCTTCCTTTTAAAAGGCTGCATAACATTCCATATACATAAATGCCAAGTTTTGTTATCCATTCATCCATTGATAGACAGAATGGGTTACTTTTCACCTTTTGGCTCTTATGAATAATGTGTCTATAAACATGACTATTTGTGGAAAGTTCTGTATTTCTGTTAAGTCCATTTGGTGTGTAGTGTTGTTCAAGTCTGGTGGTTCCTTACTGATTTTATGTCTAAATATTCTATCCATTATTGAAATTGGAGTATTAAAGTGTCCTAGTATTATTATATTGATGTCATTTTTTTCTTCAGTTCTGTCAGTGTTTGCATTATATGTTTATATACTCTATGTTTGATGCAGATATATTTATAATTATTATATCGTTCTGTTGAATTGACTCTTTAATCATTACATAATGACTTTCTTTGTTTTTTATGACAGTTTTTTTTACTGTGTCGAGGTGATTTTTTTCCAGATGTAAGTATAGCATCCTTGCTCTGGTTTTCATCTGCAGATCTTTTTTCATCCTACACTTTCAGCCTATGAGTTTCCTTAAATCTAAAGTCACTTTCTTGTACACAGCATAGAGTTGGGTCTTGCTTTATCCATTAAGCTGCTCTGTGTGTTTTGAGAAGGGGGTTTTAATCTGTTTACATTTAAAGTAATTATTGTTACATAAGGGCTTACTCTTTCCAGTTTGTTAATTGATTTTTGTCTGCTGTGTAGTTTATTACTCTCTTCCTCTGGTGCTGTCTTCCTTTGTTATTTGCTGATTTTTTTGTATTGATATGTTTTGATTCCTTTCTTTAGTTATTTCCTTTGTGGTTATCATGAAGCTTATATATAAATCTTATATTAATCAGTCTATTTTAAGTGGATAACTTAACTGCACATGAAAAATCTACATTTTTATATCCCCCCCACACTTTGTTACTGATTTCACAATTCACATCTTTTATAGTGTGCATCCATTATGGTTACATTTATTGTTAATACTTATGTCTATAACTTTTATACTCGCTTTAATTAATGATTTCTGTGTCACCCCTATAGTGTTACATTATTTTGTATTTGCACATATATTTACATTTACCAGTGAGATTTATACTTCTATTTTTTTTTAAAGATTTATTTATTTTAGAGAGAGAGTGAGCGGGTGAGAATGGGGGGGGAGAAGGGAGGGAGAGGGAGAGAGAAATTTTTTTTAAAGATTTTATTTATTTATTTGACAGAGAGAGACATAGAGAGGGAACACAAGCAGGGGGAGTGGGAGAGGGAGAAGTTGGCTTCCCACTGAGCAGGGAGCCCGATGCAGGGCTTTATCCCAGGATCCTGGGATCATGACCTGAGCCGAAGGCAGACGCTTAATGACTGAGCCACCAAGGTGACCCAGGCGAGAGAATTTTTAAGCACACTCTGCACTGAGCACAGAGCCCTATGCGGGGCTTGATCCCATGACCCTGAGATCACAACCTGAGCCGAAACCAAGAGTCAGATGCTTAACTGTCTGCACCACCCAGGCATCCCTGTACTTTCATTTTTTTTAATGTTGCTATTTAGCATCCTTTTATTTCATCTTGATGAACTCTCTTTAACACTTTTTGTAAGGCAGTGTTCTCACAGATGTTGGGACTTCTGGTGGTATCGAACTCCTTCAGTTTTTGTTTGCCGGGGAAAGTTCTTAGCTCTCCTTCCTTTTCCTTTTTTTTTTTTTTTAAATCTTCATTTTTAAAGGGCAGTTTGATGGGTATAGTATTCTTGGTTGGTAGTTTCTTTTTCTTTCTGCACTTTAAGTGAATTTAACACACTTTTCTGGCCAACAAGGTTTCTACTGAGAAATATACTGATAGTATCATAAGGAGGGGGGTACCCTTTGTTTGATTGGTTGCTTTTCTCCAGCTGCTTTCATAATTCAGTCTTTGTGAATTTTGCCAATTTAGTTATAAGGTTTCTTGGTGTCCTTGGTAATCCCTTTTGTGCAACTCGTTTGGGATTCTTTAAGCTTCATGAATCTGGATGTCTGTTTCTTTACCCAAGTTTAGGAAGTTCTTTGGTATTATTTCTTTAAATTAGCTTTCTATTTCTTTGTGTTTCTCTTGCTTATGGGACCTCCATAATGCATGTGTTGACTTAGTTGATGTCAGTAAGACCTGTAAGGCTTTCTTTACTCTTTTTTTCTTTTCTCTTCTCTGATTGGATAATTTCAAATGATCTGTCTTTGAGTTCACAGATTCTTTTTTTTGCTTGATTGAGTCTGCCTTTGAAGCTCTCTGCTGAATTTTTCAGTTCATTCATTATATTCTTCATACCAGATTTTTGTTTGGTCCTTTTTTTATGGTTTTTATCTCTTCGTTGGACTTTTCATTTTGTTCATGTATTATTTTCCTGATTTTGTTGATTATCTCTGTGTTTTCTTGTAGCTTATGGAGCTTCTTTAAGATTATTTTGAATTCTTTGTTAGGCAATTCATAGATATTTATATCCTTATAGTCTGCTTTTGGAGCTTTTTTTGTTTTTTTTTTTTTCTGGTGTCATATTTCCCTGATTTCTTTTTGATCCTGGTAGCCTTGATTGGTGTCTGCACATTTAAAGAAATTGTCACTTCTTCCAGTCTTTATGCTCTTGCTTTAGGAGGGAATGGCTAGAGTAGGGATTTTGTAGGGTGGGGTGGGGAGTCTCTCAGACCTTCTCTGTGGATGCACTTGCTTAATTCTGCTAGTTCTTTCCTGGGTGGGGGAATGTCTTAGAGTTGTATTCCTTCTCTCAATCCCATAGAGCCATGCTGGGTGCTGAGAACCATGGCAAGTGTTAAACGCAACTCAGTCCTTTTCCCTAGGGCAGTGCCCTGAACTGCCAGGGCTTTGTGTGCCAGCTCCACTTCTCTGCCTCCCTCTAAAGAGCTATTTTATGGTTTTGCTCCTACTGTGCCACCTGTAGAGACATGACATCTACCTGAAGGGTCACCTTTCTCTTTTCCCTAAAGCAGTGCACTTAGATTTCAGACCATTGGGTATAAGCACCATTTTCCTCCCTCTTGAAAGCAAATTATTGTGTAGGAATTCACAGAGGAGTCTTTGCTTTCCCCATCCCTCCACTCCATCTTCCCCTCTCAGCCCCTTTCCTTCCCCAGCATTGATGGAGAGGCTTTCTTGTTATTTCCCCTTTGTGACTGAAGTTTTTTGTTTGGTTCATTGTTTTACTTAGAGTTTTTTTTGTTTGTTTGTTTGTTTTTAACAGATTTAAGGCTTTCCCCCCTTATCTGGGGGGTAAATTAGAACATTCTGGAATACTAGGATTGGTGTGCAATGAATCAGGAATTTAGCTGTGATTATATTTGTAGTTCTTGTTTTTAGCCCCTCATTTCTTTCTCTCTCTCTCTTTCTCTCTTCCTGTCTTCCTTTCTGTTCTCATTCCCTCTCATTGTTGAAATATAGCAACACAAAGTCTTTATCCTCTTATGTTCAGTGAGGTGATTTGTAGCAGGAGCATATTTCAGGACACCTACTATACCATATGGTTGGAAATGGAAATCTTTTCCTGTATTTTTAAATGTCCTTTTCATACTCCCACTGCCTGTGGCTTGCTTTATTCAATTAGAAATATGCTACTTTAAAATTTTTTAATATAACTGTTTAAATCTCTAATAATTTCAAAACACAAATTACAGTTTGCCTTTAGTCCTTCTTAAGAGCCTAGTTTTTCTAGTGCAAGTTTTAATTCTTCTGGAACAACTACCACTGCAGAGACATTGCTGAGTGAAGAGTAGACTCTTTTGTCTTTTGCTTCAGGATTGAAGTAATCCCCACAGTGCAAAGTTAAATTTTCCTGTTCTGAAGTGCTAGGATTCAGTATGTACCTCCGAAATGGATTCCAACTTTCATAGAATTTAAACTGTTACATAAGCTTTTTTTTTTTTTAATTTTTTTATTCTTATATTATCCCCATACATTACATCATTAGTTTTAGATGTAGTGTTCCATGATTCATTGTTTGTGCGTAACACCCAGTGCTCCATGCAGAATGTGCCCTCCTCAATACCCACCACCAGGCTAACCCATCCTCCCACCCCCCTCCCCTCTAGAACCCTCAGTTTGTTTTTCAGAGTCCATCGTCTCTCATGGTTCGGCTACCCCTCTGATTTCCCCCCCTTCAGTCTTCCCCTCCCGCTACCTTCTTCTTCTTCTTCTTTTTATTTTTTTTCTTAACATATATTGCATTATTTGTTTCAGAGGTACAGATCTGAGATTCAACAGTCTTGCACAATTCACAGCGCTTACCAGAGCACATACCCTCGCCAGTATCTATCACCCAGTCACCCCATCCCTCCCACCCCACCCCCCACTCCAGCAACACTCAGTTTGTTTCCTGCAATTAAGAATTCCTCATATCAGTGAGGTCATATGATACATGTCTTTCTCTGTTTCACTTATTTCACTCAATATAATACCCTCCAGTTCCATCCATGTCGTTGGAAATGGCAAGATCTCATTCCTTTTGATGGCTGCATAATATTCCATTGTATATATATACCACTTCTTCTTTATCCATTCATCTGTCGATGGACATCTTGGCTCTTTCCACAGTTTGGCTATTGTGGACATTGCTGCTATAAACATCGGGGTGCACGTACCCTTTCGGATCCCTACTTTTGTATCTTTGGGGTAAATACCCAGTAGTGCAATTGCTGGATCATATGGTAGCTCTATTTTCAACTTTTTGAGGAACCTCCATACTGTTTTCCAGAGTGGCTGCACCAGCTTGCATTCCCACCAACAGTGTAGGAGGGTTCCCCTTTCTCCGCATCCCCGCCAACATCTGTCGTTTCCTGACTTGTTCATTTTAGCCATTCTGACTGGTGTCAGGTGGTATCTCATTGAGGTTTTGATTTGGATTTCCCTGATGCCGAGCGATATTGAGCACTTTTTCATGTGTCTGTTGGCCATTTGAATGTCTTCTTTGGAAAAATGTCTGTTCATGTCTTCTGCCCATTTCTTGATTGGATTCTTTGTTCTTTGGGTGTTGAGTTTGCTGAGTTCTTTGTAGATTTTAGATACTAGCCCTTTATCTGATATGTCATTTGCAAATATCTTCTCCCATTCTGTCGGTTGTCTTTTGGTTTTGTTGACTGTTTCCTTTGCTTTGCAAAAGCTTTTTATCTTGATGAAGTCCCAATAGTTCATTTTTGCCCTTGCTTCCCTTGCCTTTGGCGATGTTTCTAGGAAGAAGTTGCTGTGGCTGAGGTCAAAGAGGTTGCTGCCTGTGTTCTCCTTTAGGATTTTGATGGACTCCTGTCTCACATTGAGGTCTTTCAACCATTTGGAGTCTGTGTTTGTGTGTGGTGTAAGGAAATGGTCCAGTTTCATTCTTCTGCATGTGGCTATCCAATTTTCCCAACACCATTTGTTGAAGAGACTGTCTTTGTTCCACTGGACATTCTTTCCTGCTTTGTCAAAGATGAGTTGACCATAGAGTTGAGG